GCCTCATTCCAACCACAGGCGGCACTGCGGACCCACCACTTCAAGAACATTGTATTTTTTATAAAGAGCATGAAGATGCAACCCTTATTACAGACGTGTTTAAAGAAAGTGGAGTCAAGTTCCCTTTCCCACAGAGAAGGAGACACGGGGCTTGATACCATATCACCCTTGTAACTTTTTAAGCTTCAGGCACCCAGAACTCGTTCTTAACACGCTCCCGACGTCCCCGGGTCATACGGATCTAGCAAACTGTTGGTTCAAGAGACGGTCTGTCTTTCTGACCTAATTTATTTAGGATGCAAATGAACCTTCTCTCCAGACACCCAAGATCGTGGGGCTGGAAGGTTTCTCTGGGGACATGCCACCCCAAAAGGCAGGCCTTCAGAACTGAAACTGCCACAAGACCTTCCCTTCCTAAGCGCATCAACCGAAGACTCCCGTGCAGGAAAGCCCAACTGCCGCGACCAGCGGCACCTTCTCCATCTCTCCTGAACTTCCCCACGTCATTTCTGCAAGAGGCACACAAAACTTACCCTTTTATGATTCATCGTGTCCAAAAAGAGTTTACATTGCTTATAGATATCTTGTCCAGGTTTATGATACGTCTTGAGAAATTCGATGAACTCCTTGGATACTCGATCTGTCTCGATGCTAGCCTGCCTGTTGACAGACGGGCTGGGGGCCTTGGCTTCGTGGAGCTCTGCTGGGAGAGTTTGGGCACATCACGTTAGCTTTTTTTTTTTTTTAAACACTGATGGACAAATTGAGGAAGTGTTCAACGTGTGTATTAAAATTTCAGGTGGTGTGGGGATTTCTTCCCACCTGTGCAGATGGGTAAGCATTTATTTCTCAAAGTTTACCAGCGAAATGCTGGATGTTATTAAACAGAACTCTAGGAAACAGAATATTCCACTGAAACGAAACATTTACAGCCACATAATCATTTACACTAATGGCCTCTTGATATTAGCAAATTACTGTAACGTGGGTTTGTTTCCCAGATTTTACGTTTTCATTCCCAGGTAAGGTATCTGCATAGACAGTCAAGGCTTCCAAAAGGGATTCCGCACCCGTCTAGGATAATGGAGTGGTCCCTTTGCCGCTCTCCCTCACCATTACGTTTCTGCTCCGTTGCACCAGCACAAGCATCTGTCACCTGGCGCACGCACCAGCTCGGGGAGCCAGGGCAGTCCTAGCCGGAAATCAGGGTTTCCCATGGGGCTGTTTTCCAGCTTGACCAGCTCCCAGGTTGGCTTCTGACCAGGTCACGGGAGCATCAGCTGCAGCACGAGACAAGGACCGCAGCGGCCCCTCTCGGGCTGGGCAGCAGATGCCGGTCACCCCCGTGGTGTAAAGGAACCCATGGCCATTCGTGTTTGGGCGAGAGCAGAGGCCCTGCATCTGCTCAAGGGAGAATCTGCTTGCACGTGGGAAGGCAGACAGAGCGCAGGCAGCGCTGGCTGCAGGTGTCTACAGCTGCAACCACGGGGCTTGTCCGCACCAACACATCTGATTTCCCAAGGTACATTCCAATACTTTCACTGCCCAGGTTTGGTTCACCCACCTTTCCACTTGCCAGCCAGCACTGTTGAGAATGAAGGATTGGGTAGGGATGTTGTAAATGAACATGATGAAAAGCAAGCAGCAAAGAGACAGAAAACATGAAAATATTGATGATCAACATGACACAAACATATCTTTCCATCTGAAAATACACGCGCAAGAACACCAATCCTCGTGTCAGTACGCACACACGCAGAACTCCACGGCAAAAGGAAATAAATGGGACCAGTGTATTTAAATTGGTGTGTTAAACCCGAACTGGAGGGAGCTTATCGGGTCGGTCTGTTTGTTATTTGCTTTGAAAGAGGCTACAGTGAATTCAAAGCTGTACGATCCTGTGACCAACAGACTGATCACACGCCCAAAGCACCAGACCCGTCAGGATCTCCACGCTTCAGCAGAATGGTCTCTGGACAGTTTGGTCTGGTACCATTAGGGTCTTAAGTTAAATACTTAGGGTATTTAAGTGATAAGAATGGAATGCTTTTACCAATATTTATGTTCCAACTGTAGCAGTCAAGATAGAAAGTGCAAATCAATCTCTTTCTAGTTACAGCAGAACACTCTTAAAAAATTCCTCCAACCTTCTTTACGCACAAGACTCCAAGCAGAAGGCCTGCAGCGTTCCAGCTGGACAGCCACCACGACTTGTGCTGCTCTGCATTTGTCACGTTTAGCATCACGGAAGCAGGAAGAAGCACAGGTTTGCACTAACTAAGAGAGCAGATATCCTTCTGAGAGGGCAGGATTGCAAGATGTTGTCCCACAGCTGATTAGTGGCTTCATTTCGAAGAACAGCTGAAGATTTGTGTACGTCCTCCAGCGTGGGGTTCGCTGCATTATAAACACAATGAACCTCATTCTGCGACTTCAGCTTAAGGAACACGAACAATTTTTCAGCCATGAGTTTAAAACAGACGATGGTTTGGTTACTAGAGAGATGTAGTCAGCGAGGCAGATCCCTGTTCACGTAGGTATTACAGAAGTGGAGCGTTAGAACGAACGGGCTTTTTAACGACTCACACGACCAACTACGTGTAGCGACTCAAACGCTGCAGCTTCGCTCGCCGCTGCACCGAAAGCCTGGTTTAGGGAAAACGCGTCGGCACAAGATGCACTGAGCGTTAAGGACTGCAGGAACAAACGTCCCTTCAGCAACAAAGTGTTTTCAGCTTTGCCATGTACTCTGCAGAATTGGAAGAGGCTGATTACAGGAAGGAAATTCCACCTGGAGGAGTCAGAGACCCTCGTAGAGGAGATATGCCACAATGGAAAGGGCATGGGAAGAGTTAAGAAAGGGTCTCCTTTACAAAGGATAAACGCTACCAATACAAACACCTTCCTGAAGGCACTCTACAAAAACGCTGGTTGTCAGAGCAGAGCAGCAGCACTCCAGTAAGTCACTACGGTTGTGCCATGGGCGGGGGTCTGGTCCGAGTAAGGAATGCAAGACAAGTGTTGTCATTAGCTACTACACCCCCACCCCTCATTGTCATGATTTACAGGGCAATCTCCCCATCTCTTTAGGCAGCAGAGCACAATGGAATTGCAAACAAGTAACATAGGACAAGACGCTAAAGCTGTTTGCATCAAGGGCTCTGGCGTCCTTTGGGTGTAAATGAAACCAGTGTCCTCCCTCGTCTGAAAGCCTCTCGACTGATGTAAGAAACTGCTAGGCACAAGCTCCTGAGTGTGAGCTATTAGACTGAGGTAGTTTCAACTTATAATCAGATTTATAATGGCAACCTGGAATTGGTTTTTTGATAAAAACATGAAGCAGCACAAGATCCAGCCACTTCTTATAAAACTCTTGGTTTTCTGGAGCTGCACAATCCTTCCGCTGTGGCGCTGAGGCCAAGCTCAGAGAGGCTCCAGCTTTACTCCTGTACTCTCCTACCGAAGAGCAGGGAGTTAGACCCACGTTCACCCAGGGCGCCACACTTCATTCCGCCACCTTCCTACCCAACCGCACACGGCAGAACCGGCACAACCCTAGTCGGGATTTCGCAAAGCCCAACTAAGTAAGCTTACTAAAATCAAGCAGACAGCCTGCTCGAGCTGTGCTGCGTTACCTTCGGCAGGGGAAGCCAGTTCCCAGGAGGGAGTAAAAATCTCCTTCAAATCCCTGAGAACGTTATCAGCATCGCGCTCCCGCCCAAGCTGTCCTCGCTTAACGGTTCTCTCTTGAGCCACTGAAACAGACGCAGGAGCAAGACGACACCAAGAGCGGGAGCACGGAGATGGTGCAGGGGACAAAAAAGAAAATACGCAAAGTGAGAAGAACGAACGTAAAAGAAGTCTAATTCACAGCTGAAAGGCTCATTTAGCCAGGTGCTGCCCACACACCAAGACACACTCCAAGATGAAATTCAGACATACTTAGAAGTTATGAAGGAAATGCATAGACTCCCAGGCTGAATTCAGACATATCTAGAATTCCTTACTAAGGAAATGCTCTATAAGGCTAAGGCACGTCAACGCTGCTTTTTCTTCTGGAATGCTTCCTCCACGGCACTTCCTGCTTTTGCCAGGTGAGCTCTTGCTATGAAAAGGCGTCAGTGCCATTAATCAGTCTGACTTGTAGCACACGCTGTAGAGTAAACATTCTGCCAACCACAAACGTGATATTTGCAACCCATATACACATAAACACTACAAGTTTCCTTTCACACTGACTTTCATTTACAGGCAGCCTGCTCACACCTTCCCATCTTCCTGATAAAGCTGTTGAAGTGACCCACTAGGGCAGCATCCCCTGATACTCTGTTTCCCACAGACATATCCATTTGTTCGAGATGACTGACAGCCCGTGCCTTTCCTACTGCTCTCTTCAGGAAGAGTTCCCCTTCGGGTCCTAAACCACAGCATCCACTACGGCTGACTCCTGAATCTAGCAAGAACGTGGCTCGTATGAACACAACACTTGCACGCAGCAGCAGCCCACCACCACGAGTAAGTTCATACCGCACTTCAGTGGAAGAACTCCTGTATGACAGACACAGCCACAGACTCCACAGTGCACTCTTCTGTTTAAAAGTTTGTTTGGCATCACCCAAAAGTTTGTGGTTTTCTGTTGTTTATACACCAAGACTTCACGTTTTGCCCTCCAGAAGCAACATTATTCCAACTTTCTCAAGTCCAGTCACAGAGCACTGCACTGCCTTTCAGTACACTACATCCAGCAGAAATACTTTAAATCACCACGTTGTACAGACCCATTAAAAGCAGAAGGAGAAAGTTACCCTTTTTAGCTCCTGTTCTGGAAGAAGCAGTGAAGAACTTCTTCACAGTAGTGACCTTTCGTGTTTTCTCATTGGTTTTCTTTTCTTCAAATTTTGAAAAGGTCAGTGACTGTGCCCCTTGGGTATTCTGGCTACTGGCATATGCTTCTTCCTCCTCACGCTGAAGCCTGGAATTAGAAAAATATAGGTCTAATTTAAGTGCTTAAAACCAGCACAGAGCAGCTAATTCACTGGGCAATGAATTAATTACTCATTTGACATACTAATTCTCCTCTACACCCATCTCGGTTTCTCGCTTCCCACCACATCTCCCTTCGCTCTGTTAAGTCACTCTTTCAACGTTGTAACAGTAAGAGTGAGGGAAAGCTCGAGGCAGCCAGGGAGGAGCAAAAGTAAGGTCAAGAGGGAGGAGACTGAAGTACAATCGTGGTCACCTTCTCGTGTCAGAGCCCTGAATTCTACAAAGGTAGAGGCAAAGGGAAAACTGCGGGAGCGCTTCCGATACTCGATGCGGCTGCCTTCCTCCCTCCATCTGTTGAGTTTCACCACCTCTGACCACAGGCAACCCTTCACCATCCTGCTGCAGATGAAAACCCTCGCTCGCAGCGGAGCAAGTGAAAGACCCTGGCACAATCCCAGAAATATTCTGGAAGACATTATTCTTGTCACCATTTGTTTTCAAAGTCTCGGTAACACTTATGCTCGACTGAGTGAACGAGGCCAACCACTGCAGCACTGATGGGTGCTCTGCAAAGACCAAGCCTGTCTTTCAGTCTGTGTGTACGAGGTAGGGGAGGGCAAACACACTGATCCTTCACTGGCTACTCTTCTTCCCATGCAGGATTAAAATGGGTTAAATTATACTGCCCTTCAAGATGCTAAGAGGCTGAGCAATTGGCCCATCCCAAGCTGAACGGATTTTTAATCTCTTCAGGGAGGAATTGTGTCTCATCTGTGCTGACAAGCCTGTCTGTTCACTACAGCAAACAATCACAGCTTATCTGTGCCTTTAGCATGTCCTCACCGGAACAGTCACTTAGTGAATAATTCCCTAAATGCCCCATTTTATTGTACACAGATGTTGTAAGACTGACAGTACAACTACCTGCTCTAATAACACTGAAGTCCTTATTAACTGCTTAAGGCAAATTTATGGCAGAGGACAAAATACCATGTCCTCTGTACTGTACTCAACGGTCTACCTGGCACCTGCTGATTAGCCTAGAAAAGGTTTCAAGCACTTCTTTCTACCTGTCTTGGCAGCTAATCCGTTCCAGTGTCAGACAGTACAGAGAACTTCAAAAACAAACTACTTCAGGGCCTAAGGCCGGCGGGGGGGTCTAAGGCAGTTAGCAACCAGAAAACCTGGGGCTTCTAAACCACAACCATGACTTTGGACCCAGCTCAAGGTACCCTCCGGCAGGCTGACATGAACACTGCCCTTAATGCCTCCCCCGGTGACCTTGGTTAACGTATCACTAGGTAAACTCGAGTTAGAGAGAGCCACACAATGGTTTGGGTCAGAAGGGACCTTAAGGATCACCTAGTTTCACACCCCCCCCAGGGTTCCCGACACGCGTCTCGGCCTGCACTGTTCCGCAGAGTTGTGGCCGTAGGTGTACGCAGAGAACCTGTGTCGCTGTCCAACACCCTGGCCAGCTCAAGCCGACTGCCAAGCAACTCTTAACACATGGCTAGGTGCTCCTCCACCTCAGGAATTCGCCTAACCCTGAAACAGTGAATTCCCAGTGGGTGTCACATGACGGGCGCCCGGAAGCGACACAAGTGACGGCCGTAGCGGCAGAGGATGCTCTGCAGTTCGCAGGGCAGCGGATAACGCTTCCCGCCCAAGCGTAGCAAAAAGCCGTTGCAGCTGCTCTCATTTTCTCACTCAAGCACAGATTTCCTCCAACCTCCATTTTCAGGGTCAAGTATTTATCGCACTAGGAAAATGAGACTGTTGTGCAGAAAATAGATGCTGATGAGGATTACCTGATTTGTTTACACTAAAGCTTTGACGCTGCGGGACTCAACCCTGCAGCTTAAAAGAACGACGACAGACCAAGTGTTCTAAACCAGCAGCTGAGACAAAAAGCCACCGGGCTGGCTCTGTTCAAGACAATAACTGGTCTCCAGGGGCAGAGGAGTTTTAATCAAAATTGTCACTTTCACCCTTCCAACCGCTAGTTAGAATTACACATTTCACTATGCAAATTAGGTCAAAGCATTTGTCGAGAGGTGGGGGGGAAGGGGGTGTTTACGTGTGTTACTTCACAGACTTTCTTTGGAAATCTCTTAAATTAGAATGTCATAAATATTCATCTTCGCATCAAAGGGAAGATTTTAATTCCTGCAGGAAAGGTCAGATTTGAGAACTTATGATGCAACGAAGCCCAAGCAAATAGGACTAGAAAACCGGAGACAGGAATAGTATTTAGTGGGGTCACCCTACTGTAAAATGCAAAGGAACAGGGGGCTCTTTACCGCTCTGCCAGCTCCCAATCCTCTTGAATCTGTTTCTGCCTGGCCTTATGGTATTCCTCTCTCCAGCACTTGGAGCAAAATCCCTGCCAAGCAGGATTGCCATAGTAACCGCATCCCTTCTTGCACAGTAGCTCTGACTGATCCACGTGAATTCCTCTGCGTTCAGATTTCAGGTTCATTTTCTTCCTGTTTAAAGAGAAGAGGGTTAAAGACTGAGACGTGGTAACACCCTGCTAGAAATTATTTCTTTGGAAGGCTTTTGGAAAGAAGTCACCTGTCTTGATTACCGACTAGTTTCACAGCTCCAGAATGAAGGCCATGGGAGGAAGGGCACAGTTACATAACCACAGAGCCCGAAAGCCAACCGCAGCGTCAGCGTGCTTGCACAGCTTTGACCCGCACACAGTGCTGGCCAGCTGGCCCAGCAAGCCGGAGCAGTACCAGTCACGCAGCTACCTACACGTGTGGAAGAGACACAACCCTCCGACCTCACCAGCACATTGTTCCAACAGTCGCCGAGGCACAATGCACGGGAGGAAAAGAGGAATACCGAAAGTTCGTCACCACCGCAGAGAAGCCGACAGAGTAAGAGACAAGATGTAAACAGGTCTGCATCCAGGCCGAGACTGTCTCTGCAAAGCATCCCGCTGGCCAGACCATAGGTGACAGGACTTTGGCCTTCTTTGGCCTCCTTTGAGCAGGTCTTCCCCAACACATCTCAGAGAAAGAGCTTCCACCGCCAACCTGTGCGCGTTGGCATTTACCTTTTAACGAACAGAACGACTCAAGAAGTTTTAATACACCGAGTATGGAAAATCCACCTCAAGTCAACTTTCTGCAACTGAATGACCGCATGGGAAGTCATTCAAGTCAGTGGAAGATCTTCCATTCTTAAACATGTTTTGTTGGAACTTGTGTCTAAAATGCCTTTTTTTTTTTTCCCCTTTCTCTCATCCTGGCTGCAAAAGTGGACTTCTTCTGGACAACCTCACCACGGCTAGCTGTCGCGCTGCTGGCAGTCAGCGCAACTGTACCACAGCCAAGAGGACGAGCCCGTACGGACACCAAAGAGCTCCTTCTCTTCCTGCCGCAGGCGTTCCCGGGCCGGCTCCCACCCAGCCCAACAGCGCTGGCTGCCCCAGGTAGGGCTTTCCCCGCTGTTCTATGCACCCAGCTTTACTTCTGCAAACTGCACTGATACCAGGGCAGACGAGTACCTGTGCACCACTGGCAGGTGAGGGACGACGCAGGTTCGACGCTCCTGCGGGGCTGCGCAGCAGAGGTCTAACAACAGCACAGATCTCCTTCTGCAGCTTTTCCATAACTCAGAACGTTTAGGTTTGTTGCAATGTCTAGCACAGGAAAAATCCTCTGTGTCTTAATTCAAAATTAGCTTTTTACTTGCAGTTCAGGCAATTCATTCTGAAGCTCCTGAATAGGGAGAGGACTTTTTACAAGGGCCTGTAGTGACAGGACAAGGGGGAATGGGTACAAATTGAAATCAGGGAGGTTTAGATTAGATATCAGGAAGAAATTCTTCCCAGAGAGGGTGGGGAGGCACTGGAACAGGTTGCCCAGAGAAGCTGTGGATGCCCCATCCCTGGAAGTGTCCAAGGCCAGGCTGGATGAGGCTTTGAGCAACCTGGTCTAGTGGAAGGTGTCCCTGCCCATGGCAGGGGGTGGGACTGGGTGGGCTTTAAGGTCCCTTCCAACCCAAACCATTCTATGATTCTATGAATACATCTTCCTATCACCAGTTTCCTTACATACCTTGACTTATTTAAATGCTTTCTTTTCTATTCAGTAGTATTTTGAGCACCCATTTACCTAGAGCAAACACTTTTAACAAGTGCTCACCAACTCACAGGTTTCTCGTCCCTTGGACACACCTCTAGGTCTCTCCTGTCCTTTGGCATCCAAAAAGAATATCCAGGACACCATAGCTCTTACTCCAGAAAAATCAAAATTCACCCCAGTTTTGTAGGCAGAATAAGCCAGCTGCCTGCCCATCCGCTCCTCCGTGCCTCTGCACAGTGAAAACACGTGGCAAACAGTGCAGGGGTTTGGCTGGAAGCAGCCATCCGAGCCCAAACCGGGAAAACCTTTTCTGCCTAACGCTGCTGGCCTACAGTGGCTCGCTTCCGAGTCGCGTACTTCCGCGCCTCTCTGGGGGTCGCCAAAGGGAACACAGGGCAGTCGCCACAGGAGACACGTGGTGTCCCAAGTGCTCTCGGAGCAAAGGAACCCAAGCGTTGGGCTGGGGTGGGGAGGGTGGGTGCGAGCCTGGAGGAAAGAGGAAAAGGGGGTTTTTAAGTATTTCCCACTGACCTGAGCTGCAACAGCGTTCGTTGCACACCCGTGTGTAGTAAAACCTGGGGGCTGGTTTTCGGGGAGCTCCAGTGCAGGAGTAGGCAGCTCAGGTTTCTCCGGGGAAGCAATAAAGAAACATCTGAATGGAAAAGGGGATCCTGTCCAAGCGTTTAGTCTTCAGATGACATGCAAAGACTGCGGTCTACAGTCCTGACCCCCCTACACACCGCCCGGAAACGGCTACAGACACCAGAACACGATCTGCAAGTCACCAAAGCTCAGGCAGCAACACCCTGTCGACGTCCCACCTCACACCCTACACTCTGGGATGGGTGTAGTCCCAAGTACACCAGGCTGGACGTCCAATGCTCCAGCGTCTCGACTGCCCACATGAAAGCACAGTGAAGTTCATCCACCTCAGTGCAGGACTAATCCCACCGCAGCAGCACCAGACACCATTCCACCTTTCACCGATGACTCCCATTTCATTCCCACAGGGCCCAAGAGAGGCCGCTCACAACCAGCGCTGTTCCACCATTAAAACTAAGGACTGCGAAGCGCGCCCAGGACTTTGCCAAGATCACAGGTGGCGTCTCGACACGCAGACCGGTTACATAACGTCAGCTCCAAGTTCCCAAAAGGCGCTCTCTCCTCCGACTGCAAGCCCATAAACCCTTAGGCCATTTCTGCCAGTATCCCACAACGGGGCCCGAAGTAGCAGCGATTACTGCTCCAGGACACTGCACCTGCCACATCAGACTTCACGCTCTCGAGAAGAGCTAAAGACTATAGCTTGGTTTTCACACAGACCACGTTACAAAACAGCTGGGACAGCCCAGAGCAAAACTTATGAAAGCAGATCCCACAGTCACTGCAAAGAGCAAGCGCACCCTTGGCTTTGACGTCACACGAAAAGGGGTTGCTTCGTCAGAACAGGACCTGGCACTAAGGGCTGATTTAGTGCACACACGAAAGGTTAAACTTGCATAACACCTTCTTTCCGCCAACAAATCTAGGATAATTTTCCTAACACATCAGGGTCTCCAGACTGCAGACACAGCTCTGGCTTCGGGAAAGGCACTGCGTGTGAAAGAAGGTTTAGAAGTAGCACAGATTTGTCAGGAGCTCAGGCAGCAGCTTGTTTTTCTTGTTCCTCTCCACCACGTACCTACGTTACCTCCCAGGGCCGGAGCAGGCAAGCAGACACCCTCGCTCGCCGTGCAGATTGCATCACTGCTGCACCCACGAGGGACTTCTTCTGCAGCTCTTTATTAGCCCTGGATCGTTTAGGTCACCTCTGATGGAAGAGCTGGCTGGAAAAGCTGACGTACCAAAGCCGAGTGGAAAGGGGACTCATTTAATCAACCCACAGACGCCTTCAGCAGAGGTAATTGCAAGTCAATTTATAGTTATTACAAGCTATGAAGAACAGTTTCTAAATAACTCTGAAGTGAAAGCAGTGGCTTTATAAAACTGTTCTGTAAACAAGTTTCAGTATCAGCACCAAAGTTCATTAAACATATCTAAAACCAGGAAAAGACTTCACGTAGCAGATTTGAACTAGGCAGGCCAACACAGAGGCGTGGAACTGCCTTTGACTCCTGGGAAGCCTGTTTCAGCCTTCTATGCTTCTGACCATGAACAAAAAACCAAAAAACAGACACAAAGAAACCAAAAAAAACCCCCACAACCAACCCACATTGTCATCCGAATCCCTCCTTCAGCTTTGGGTTGAGTTGTTTTTTGTGGGTTTCCACGCGCGCACCCTCCCCCCCTTCACCGCACTCTACTTCCCGAGATCAACAGTCTCCTCAAAGGAAGTCTCAGCACAACTCAGCAACAGCCCACACCAGTCTCTTCACCCGACTGCAGCCATTTGGCTCTTCAAGCTGAAGTCTCCCCAGCACCTAAGGAACAACTTGCATTCATTCTTCTCGTTACCAACCATCAAAGCGCTCCGGGGAGCACACTGCTCACTGTCTGATGCAGCATCACTGCCCTGCAGCTCTCCGGTCATTAAGGGCCATCCCCAGGCACGGTGTTCTACAGCAGGAAAAGCAGCCAGACTGGGGAAGTCTCCAAACACATCATTCCTACGGTAACGGCTGTGGGGTTAGTTTACTGGTGCCAGCAGCGTGCCACACTTGCCAGCAGCTCCAAGGAGTAGCGAGTCCCACCTCAAGCTGCACGCACCGTCGGCTACTGAAAATAAACCAGCAAGGAGACTAGAAGGTGCATCGCAACTGCAGGGTGGAAGGATGCGATTGGGTGAAGGTCTCCAACAGCTACAAGTTTCGCCTATGGAAAAGCATCCTTAAAATAACACGTACATATTCCCACCAGCAGCTGCTGACCCAAATGCCACAGCATTCTTTAAGTGCTGAAACAGTCATAATTGATGCGTAACCCTGAATGTTCAGGCATATAATTAGCAGGAAGGTAATTAAACATGAGTTAATTTCCTCTAAAGGAAAGGGTGGGGCGATATGGTCTAAGAGACTCATGAACAGGAAATACAGACCCATTAGACAACTTGCGAATTAGAAAGAAACCCAACAGCTGCCTGAAGGACGGACCGCAGGAGTCTCTGCAGTTCTGATGTGCAATTACAGAACTCCAGCCACAGCAGTTGTTTCCTACCATAAACTGCACAGGCTGCTAACTGAGGATCCTGAGAAAAGACACAGCCGTTAGCTGTGATGACAGACACACAGCCTGACCACCTGAGAACACCCCGCTCTGCTCCGGCGAGGGGAGCTGCAGCCACTACTTACAACCCCTGAAACCTCACGGCCGTAAGGCTTCACCATCCACACGGGTCACTTCGGCGTAAAGGTACTTTTTCCCCCGCCGGCACTACAGCCCTTAG